GCCCCACGGATTCCTCCTGGCTCAGATAACGGGGCGTCCCGCACACATTAGATGAGCCGCGATGACAATTCAAATCATTGTCTGAGAGAGAGAGAGAGAGAGAGTGTACCGGGAGCGTTGCGATGCCTCGACCCCTAAATATAGAGCCTTATGTGACAGCAACTACTTGATAATTGAGTCATAGGATATGGCGGCTGAACGTGAATATAAACAGTGATGTGATAATCCAGCAATTTTAAGTGCCACGAAGGTAACCTCATGTGAAAGGAGCGCGCGCCAGGCCACCCCACCACCATCATCATCATCCGTCTATTTGAGGAACGTCGGCCCGGTATGACTCGAGCCGTCACACCCACCCACACACACACACACACACACACACACACACACCCCAGCCGGCGGCACCAATATTAGAGTTTCATTATTGTTTGTTATACACTGCGGGTGAGTGATTTGTCAACCTCGCCGTGCGTCACTGTCACTTGTTCATTCCGGTCTGATGAGCGAGCGAGGACACATGCTGGTTCTCCCTCAGATATATTCCAACAACTGTTGTTTCCCATCAGTCGCTGACATGTAACCCGGGGGGGGGGGGGGGGCATAAATTGTCTTTTCACTGCCTTGTTTACATGCCTCTCTTTGTGCCACGAACCCTGGATAAAAAACAAAAAAACCAAAGCATAACACTTCACTTCACCATCCACTTCAGCTGATGGCGGCAGATGGAGAAACCAGACGATTGCGGGGAGGGGGATGGGGGTTGCTAAGCAACCTGTTGTAACATCAAGAAGAGTGAAAACAGAAACCCGGTGTTCAAAGCGATCCGTCATTCACAGAGAAAACGAGGCTGTTTTTCTACAAACACTGTCACAACAAAGGTTCTGGTCCACGTCACGCTGATATCCAGCTTCACGGAGCGGTCGGCATGAAGTCTGATAAATAAGGATGATTTTAAGAAGTATACCAAGACAAAGAGAAGAATATCATTAAATCATGTCTGCTATTGTCCCGTTTTGTCAAGTTTACTCTCATTGGTGCATTCACGACAAAGACAACGTCTTTCTCATATGTGTCTAAATCCTATGACACGTGTGTTGGTTTAACTTGAATACACTTATTTTACTGCTCATCTTTTCTAATATTTGGTGTCAGATTTCCAAACCAAACGGAGATCACCGGAGACTGGGCGATCTGGAGGCCGGCCCGCTCTGGTAAATCTTTGAAATTCAGTTTTCAGATTCATGTTCCCGAGGGGTTTGCTCCTCCCAAATCGAGGGGACCTGTGGTAACTCGACTCTGAACAAGCTTCATGAAATATTAACAACTGTGCTGGGTTCATACCAACAGGTCCCGTGCTTGCTCAACACGTTATCACTTCTGTTTGTCCGGCTCAAAAACACTGAGAAGCAACACTTTGACCTTGATTTATTGCGTCTTGGAGAAGAGCAACCCCGAGATAGTTACTGGCTTAGAAAAGCTTCACTTTATGTTTGAATATTCGTCACTCTGTACACTGTTAATACATAAAACACCTGAAATAATCCTCTTTGAAAACTACTGCAAAAGATACAGTGTACATCAGTAAACTGGACACTGAATCCTTTCAATCTCAACCAAAAATGTTGCTTCACATAGTTCACATTTGACTTGCTTTCAATGCACAATGCTGGCAATGGGTCATAAGGGTTTGGGTTGCTGCAAATAGCTCCCGGCTAAACCACTAGGTAACATATGACTTCCATTCCCACACGCTAACCCATCACCATATCAGCGTAAACATCTGCTACTCCTCTGCCGAGATGTCACCAGCCAGGGCTCTGCTTCGTACCGCTGTAGCCGCGAGCGGAGCGGACACAAGCTGTGCCTTTCGTGGGAGATTGAAAATATTGTTTAACAAGACGGATTAGAGCACACATACACAAAGTCCTTTCACAGCTAATGGAGGTGCTGTTCTTTCTGAGCAAACACTGTCTAGATACACTATCTCTGTTAAATGTGTCCATGCGATAAGACAAGCAGAAGAGAGTGAGATACTCATTCCACGCACAGCAAAACACGGGGAACAGTTTGCAGTCCGACTGCTTTGCCTCTGTCCTCGAAGCAGTTGATGAATTATTTGCGCCGGGGTTAATATTTGATCACGCTTGTGTAGCGTCTTGTTACTCAGATCCCATGGGAGTAAAAAAAAAAAAGAAATCACCATTGTAGTAAAATAATGAATGAAAACAAGACAAATACTTCTGCGGAAAACGACACGGCTCGTCGACAGTGGCAAAACTACTTTTGCAATGTGGGTGATGATTTATTTTTGTTCAGGATATTTTTGTAAACATGGCATTTAAAGGCTTTTTATCGCTGGTGTTTTTAAGTGTTGAGCTTTTTTTTTCCGGAGTTTGCTTCATCCCTATTTCATGTAACATTGTAGAGCTTCCTCTCTGTTGACTACTTTGTTGAAAAAGCCTATTCTGGCTGTGCTTTGTAGTGCTGCAACAAAGGGGTCAGTATATTTGATTGTCTGTGTGTCTATGTAGGTCCACACTTGTGCTGTGAAGCAGTTGTTTGTGTCACACGCAGTTCATTATGAGGCCTCACGCGGACCTGTTTGTCAGACCGGAGCAGGAAGTTTAACATGCAGGTCCACTGTGTCAATATACCTGCAGAGACTACTGGCACTAATACTACTGTACCAGTTGCACAACACAGCTGCTCTAATCACACACTGGAAGACTACAATATTCCTCTCAAATGACACTTCAAGCTGTGTTATCACTACTTCAGCATGCAGCACTGATGATCTATCCCTCAAGACATTCCCACCTTCAAAGTCCTCCAATGAAAAATGACAAAAGGCTGCAGTCTAATGTGACAACACTGTGCTACAAATGATAGTGAAATGCTACTGGATCAACTTTTCCTCGCACCTTCATGCCGCATAATATGCATTCCATTAATGGTCCTGATGTCACAGCCTTATTGTGGAGTAGTGGGGTCCTCTATGCTATGACTCACTGTGACAACCCGCTAATAAGCCAATTTAAAGAAACAACCACACCAGGGAGGATTATTTAAGGATATGATACCGGGCAGTTTTATGCAAAGTATTAAGTCAGGAGGTGTTTCATTCCCAGACTTGATCATTTGGCTCTTAGCTTCAGAGTGCGGACCCCATGGCGGGTTGCACCGTATGGATCAGCCTGTGTACTGCAGTAACTGTCCCAAAGCCAGAGCGCCTCTCTGCTGAGATGCGAAATCAAAATGGACTTACTCCTTAAAAAAAAGCACTTATGTTTGATCAAGTCTGCTGAATTCGCACTTGGTGAAGGAGCGATGAATAAGAAATGCATTAAGTGGTGCTAGTTTTGCATCATACGATAAAAATAACACAAAGTCAGCTGTTATGGTGCCAATGTAATAAAAAAAAAAAAAAAAAGAAAAAGAAGGTAGGCATGGGATAATAACAATACATCTCCAGACACCGTTAAAGAGCCGCATGCAGCAGTGATGGAGCAGGAACGCGCTTACCTCTGTGTGATGGTTATCCAGTGTTAAGCTCGCTGCTGCAGAAACACTCCACTGAGCTCTGTGCGCCGACGGCTGCTCTCCACCAGCGTCCCGTCAGCGCGTCACCCTCACCGGCCTCAGCTGCGTCAGCGGGGCCGCACCACACCACCACCACCTGGCACCGGGCAGCCGGCTCTTCACAATAAAGGCCCGGACTCAAGTCACTGCATTACAAAACCGAAATAAATGTTGTGGTAGCAGATACATTAAAATGTTTTGACTCAAAGCACTTACCTATTATGATATTTGTTGGGCCACTTGGAGGCAGCTGAACAACACGTGTTATTTCAGGGCTACCGTGTTAGCATTAGCAAATAGTTACCTTTAGCCCTCAGGACACAGGGATAATTATATGCATTCATTAGGACTCCTGTTTCGGACCACTTGATACATACGAGTCTAATATAGTATAATATAATATAATATAGTCGCCATCAACCCCTGAGAAAAAAATAGCTGCTAAATGCCCCACTATGTTCACTAATGTTAGCTAGCTGCTAAGTTAGCCTGTCTGTGGTGCTCAGCAGGTGGCTTTATATAGCTTTACTCTACTACAGCTGCTTGTTAAGGCTGGAAACATAATTGATAGCATAGACTGTATAGTTGTAACAGTGAGACTGAACCACAACACAACAGTAAAGTTGAAACCAGTAAAACCAAAACAATTAGCTAAAGATGCTAAAATGCTCAGTAGAGTTGAGAGGAAATACAGATAATTCTCCAAAGGGTTTATCGTCATGAGCAAAACCTCTACATTACCCAGAGTCACTTGAACCATTTTTAATATGAAAATATTGACAAGCACAGCGTCAAAAAGTATATTTGTCCTCACAAAACAAATTTAAATACATACATTTTCTAGTAAACAAAATACATATAGATTTAGCTTTTAAAAACTTAAGTTGAATGTGTTTGACAGCTGGGGTCTAAACAAGTGCATTGGAACTCCTAATGAAGTGCATGATGACCATGACATCACATTGCAGGATTCCAATGCATTGGGTTATGAATCACAAATCTATACAGTGAATGATTGAATGAATAACACACCCTTTAATTTAAAGCATACTTTTACTGTTTCACTATGATACTGTGCATTTATCGGTGGTTTTACTTTGAAAGTTTTGACCGGAAGTCCCAGCTGGCAACGCTCTCTCACACTTTATACATGTGTCTCTCCTCCCAGAGCTTTAGAGGGGACACATTTTGCAGCCAGGAGGAGTCATTCATATTCATAGCCGTGAAGTCATTTGAAATTTCATTAAATCGCTGTGTGCTTACAAATCGACTTGGATAAAAGTTTTCACATACATGTTAAATGTTCGTGGAATCCAAAAAGAGGATATGGAGCGCCATCAAGTGACCAAACATCACACTGCATGAGAAAAAACACAATACTGGTTGCAAAGGAGCCAATTAAAAGAACACATTCAACTGTATAAAAGGAACACATTTTTTATATTTCATGATGAAATTCAGAAGTTAGAAAAAGTCTGATGTACAACAAAACTGACCTCCTAAAGGTTATTTTATCATCCATGTATGAATTCTCCAAGTTTAGAAAGCTATACAAATATCACAACCAAACTGTAAGTTATTTAAGAAGCATAACGGTGACATCATTTGAGGTAAAATAAGTACAATATAATGTCAAATCAACATGTAATTAAGTACTGGCATAATTATAAAAAGGAATATTATTTTGTTTCTGGTGAACTGAACATCATTGGCTCAGTGAACAGGACACCCACTACCAACTATATTTAAATATCATAATTAAGATTTCAATTACCAAACCAATTATTTCCCCTTTTCTCCAACACATTAAACTTAAATTTTCAACAGTAAAATCTTTAAATGTCCCATGGTTTGTAGAGGTAAAGCATTGTTTTTTTTTACAGTAAAAACATACCACAACACTGAATATCACACTCAGCCGCCCTGCCCCCCCCCACCCACACCCACACACACACACACAGAAAGATGCATAACAATTTATAAAAGCAATGTATGGATGCATATCCTGATGGTTGTTTACAGAGGAACACACCGTCTCGCTGACTCCTCCATCCCTCTTAAAATAATCATAACTTTAGAAACTAAACCCAGCAGCAGCAGCCATGTGTCGATCAGCGCAGGCGTCGAGGTACGGGAGGGGCTGCATTTGTGTGTCTCTGGGTGGGTCTTTGGGGAAGTGCTCGAGTCGGGCAGGATATGTAGCGCTCATGCGTCTCCGAAACCCTACGAGAAACAGAGCGCTGTAAGGTCATCGACTCTGGTGCAGTCGTAGATATACAGTAAAGGGTGGGTCAACTGTGACTTCCAATTCCTGATTATCCTTTTAAAAAAGACACACACACACACACACCTACACCTACACCCACACCCACACACACACTTCAAAACTATTGTTACATCCAAATTACACCGAATTAGAACCTACACAATGCCTAAAAATGCAGATACTCGGTCTTTCTTCGATGTTACGAGAGGAAGAGCAACGTCTCCACAAACGAAATGCGTTCTTTCAGTTTTCACATCCATTTGAACAAATCTGAGAGTTTGAACTGAAACCCAGTGGTGGGCCGTCAGCTAAGCCTTCTCTGCTGGCCTAAACAGAACCACAAAGTAATAGCTAGTTTATAATTTAATAATTTTTCACAAATACACTACATGTATTATAATTTATTTTCCCATTAGCTTATTTTCTCATTGCACAGCTCCTGTCTTCCTCTGTTGCTCTGCTTCCAGCACAGCTTGTTTTAAGGAGAGCTTTTATCCAATCAGATTCAGCCCCTATGTCTCTATGTAAAAAGAGAGGCCCAAGGTCCGCTAGAGAGCCTTTGCAGTTTAAAGTAAATGGGGAAGTTATTGTTGATTGTCATAGTCTTCAACCAATCAGATCTTTAGTTTGACATGTTGGGCGTATTCTTTGAAGTGCCTTTGGCACCGAGGTAGCCTGCTAAGTACGTCAGCATTAACGTGCGCCGTGATTGGTCAGTGGGCCAGCGCGTGACTAATGTGAAATTTAAGGAAGATGGCAGAAGTTAGTTGGAGTAGTAAGAGTCCAAATTGAAAGATATGGAAGAAATTATAACATTTTTAGGGTTTTGCTTGGTGTAGTTTATTTATTTTTATGAACGTGTTCCTGGCTTTTGAAAACTTTTGGAGAAATCCGAGTGGATCTACAAATCAACGAACACGTTCGCAGGGAAACGAAGCTCCACAACCGCGGCCTGCGGCCGGTCCCCAGGTGGGGAACCGTCCAAACTGTGGACCGGCCAGGTGGGACGGTGGGGATCCGTAACTGTGTTTTTTTAGTTTTCAGCTCTTTTTTGTAGAAACTGAACATCTTCAAATACCATTTGCACAGATATTATACATTTCTATGGCATAATAACTGTCTAACAGTCCCATTCTGGTCTTCAAGTCAATCATGTGGACTAAAGATCTAATTTTAGCATTTTGCCTTTTTTAGGGCAGTGTACTGAGCCGGTTATTTGAATCTCCTTTCGCGCATGAAAAGGTAAAACACAGCTCTCAATAAGATCCCACTGTGCCGCGGAATTAGCAAGAATTAAAGGCACTCGGGCGGATTTTCCCACGCTATTTGCAGCCTCTCAAACCTTCTTGCCGTGGTGTACTGCAGGTGTTTGCTCAGTTCTTTTGTCATTATTATCACCCTTACATTTATTTGAGAAGCATTACTTAGTGACGATAGATTTACTTACTGTTCACAAGCATGTGAAGTATATATATAGTACATTATAACATGATAAATATAATGTGTGAACAAACTAAAAGTGTATCAGAGTTTATACCTAGTTTGCTGCAGTACACACATTTATTACACTTTGTAAAGAGATACTAACACCTCTATCATTTAAGATCACCAGACTCGAGAGTTTGTTCCAGAGAAAGTCACAGGGATTCAGTTATAGTTAACAATCAAACCACTTTTAGCGTCACTTTGATGTGAGCTTTCGTTTTCAAATGTTGTCAGTGTGTGCTCTCTCGCCTGTGTAGATAATTATATCTTTTCACAGCATGAACATCAATGGCTTTATCGCTTTCTCACATATGGCTTCCTGCCTAATGCACAGTTGTGAATCACTGGTGGGTGAGCGTTTCCTCTTTATCATTTATTGTAAATGCTGCCTGTAGATTCGATATTGGTCTCTCTGTTTGTTTCTGTCACACCTTCACTCTTACACTTCTAGTAGAATTGCTTGAGATTTCTGCAGGAATGAGTCCTGAAACCCAGCAATGAGTCAGCAACGTTAGCTGTTTACTCCTGCCGATTGCATTCATTTGTGAGGAGTATCTTACAGAACTAAAATGTATAGGTGTCATAAAAGTTTGTTTGCCACAGAGCGTATATTTTGCAATATCCAACACTTTTGTCAAGGGAACCAGTGAGATGTTAATGTTAAAATGAATGGCGTACAAAAACACGCCATCCCTGCAGCACTGACACGTTGCAATACAATATATTTGCTACATCGTATTGTTTTATATACAATTGTATCGAACTATATTGTTCGATACTGGTCTGCATTGCAATGTCAGTAAACTCAACCACTGGTCTTCAGACTGACCTTTCTGGGACCCGTGGAGGAATCCTGGGTGAAGCAACAGACGGCCGTGGAGGACGTGGAGGAGGGGCATCTATCATGTCCTTTTGAAAAAAACACAAAAAAAACCCCACATTTTGATAAGACCAATCTTCCACGACAATTCCACTTTAAAGCTGAAACAATTAGCCGATTAATCAATTACTGGATCAATGGAGAAGGGGGGATGACACTCGGCAAAGGGCCGCGAGTTTGAGCTGCGCTGGTGATCAAAGTCTGTTGGAAACCGTTTGTCCCTGTTGCCATAAAATATGTGAATTAGTGAGAACAGACACTTTTTTGAAGCCAGCTTGCTACCTCAGCACACATTTACTGAACCATGTCCTCACCATCGAGTACCAGCTGCTTCTTCTAATGTAGGCTTTTTATGTAAATGAGTTTGAATCTGTCCTGTCTGGATGTCACATGATGTGAGTCAAAATACCCTTTTTAATAGCAGATTTTGCACATGCAAACCAAAGAATAAATTCAGATTTTTGGACTCGAAAAGTAGACGACAAAGTATTTTCCATACTATATCTTGTGTGACAGTCAACAGAAAATCATTGGGTATTATCACCATTATTAGTTTAAAGACATTTTGATGATATTTTTATCAAAACAATATGAAAGATGAATGAATAAAGAAAATATGTGTTGGTTGCCAGCCTATCCAACGACAACAGATAAAAGACTCGTGCGATAAGAGTTGGGGGTTTAAAATAGAGTCAAAATTGAAATCGTCAGAAAAAAAACCCACAGTTCTTATTGCACGCTGGTGACTTCTGAGAAACCACTGAGCTGTGCATGCCAAGCTCAAAAGATTTCACAAGAAAGAAAAAAACTTGGGTCTTGCAGAGTGAGTCTTTTAATAACTTTTAATAACTTTTAAACTACAAGATAGTTGTTTCCATGTGCACTAATAAAATGCTCTTGTTGCTGATTCAGGCTCACCTCAAAGTCAGGCTCTGTCCCGCTGCTGTAGCTGAAGGTGCTGAGTCTGTTGCTCTCAGTACCTGATGTAACAAGAATAAAAAATGGCTTTAATGTGGTAAGAAAACACATGATTTCGAGTTTCAACGAGGTCAGTGCTTGTGGTGAAAGATGCTGTATGACCACTTCACCAAATGTGGATATGAATACCTGTTTGAGTCTCACAACAAAGGTGTTACAGTTGTGTAACATGTCTGCAGACATGTGCGAATCGGGGAGATTAAACAGAGAGCAGGCAGACTAACTCTGAGAGAATGAGAATCAGGGGGCTGTCAGCTAATTCCTCAAACTTTGTCAACATATGGGTGCATTTCAAAGCATATTTATTTTTGATAATTTTTCTTTTAGTTTGAAGCAAGTTTTCCATAAAAAAAAAACATGATACTCAAACATTAAAACTGCAATATGGGCCAATGTAAGTGTTTCAGGGACATTTTAACATTTAAGAGCAGATTTCTATCAAAGGGCAGATTTGCTCTCTGGAGGGTTCTCAGGAAGTCTGTTGTGTAATTGGCCATTTGAATAAGTGAGTCAATGCATGACTTTAATCTGAGACAATGTTGAGAATGAACAGAATAAGAGCAAATCTCCTCCAGACTAAATGCCCATTTGTATCCTCTGTTCTTTCTCCCATTCTAAATGGTATTCATAAAGGGAGTGTTAACAGGTCTTAAAATCTCAAATACATCTTTAGGGCACCATCAGAGCAGGACTTGTTGTTGTCAAGACATCTGTCAAGATCAGAGGGCAACGCCTTTCTTCAAAGTTGTTTGAGAGCGTGTAGTTTCCCAGTACTGTGAGGAAACCCGTATCGCATCAGGATGGTGGGGAAGACAGTCAGAGAAGGAATGGTGATGACGTTAGGCTGCTTCAAAAATGTCATAGCCTACAGATACCTGCAATACTGTGCGTCACACTGTAATAAAACAGAATGAGGAAGCAACAGCTTGTTTAGGGTTGTGAAACAAGGTTTTGAGAAAAGGTGTGAACATGAAAATGTAAGGGAGCCAAACCAAAACATTCACATCTCTCACAAGTACTGAGATGGCCGCAATCATCACGGCTATTTAAGTTTCATTCAGGCAAAAGCTTTGCGTTCTGGGAGCCCGAGGGGCACAGAGAACACGGGAATAACAAGTAAAAAACATTGTTGAGTCAAGTCCGTTCAGTCCAGTATTTATCTAGTTCTGGATTATTCCACTGGCTTTAACTTAAAGGATTCCCCCCCCCGCTGCCCAAGTTGAAAATGAAAAAAGAGGAAAATACAAGCATTTGCACCAAAAAGCTCTAACAGCTGCAGTTATCACGACTGCCTTCAATCGTACCACCATGCGAGTATTATTTTCACCTCCTGCCTTTCTGAGTTTCTTTAGCGACGGTATGACTGCTGTAAATCTTTACGTTTGTTTTAAGCACAAACTAGTGAGACATTACATTATGGGCTGTGTAATAAACAGCAATTTTGAAGTACAAAATAAAACAGCTTGGACATATTTTAACTGTCGAGCAGTTTTTTGAACAAAAACAATACATTTCTGTACTTTTTATAATTATAACTATTTTCATTGTAAAAATAAGAAACACTTCTGTTTTACACCAAAACTAAACAACACTTTCCCACAAGGCAACAGGTCACAATAGAATATAAAACTGAAAAAAAACATCTCTTATGTTGTCAAATTGAACATTTTAAATGAAGATTGTAAAGCCCTTGAGGCAAATGTGTGATATTGGCCTGTACAAATACAATTGGACACGGACACACCATCCTCGTCTTACTGGTGACGGTAGTGACGATCGCGTGTCAAGTAATCCAGGAAGTTTTCCGTGAAGCTCGTATCCAGGTTTGTATCGCTCGTTGACCAACAGGTGGCTTTGTGAGCACATGAAGCCTCAAAATGAACCCTTTGGGGATCCAATTTTCTGGAAAGCTTCAATGCTTCATGAGGCTTCATCTACATCTTTGTAGATGAACTCTCTCTCTGTTGCTGTGGTAGCTGACCGGGTTCTTTCAGCTCAACATTTCATATTGCCAATCCGCACGTCAAGCTAACCTCAGCACCTGTTGCTAACAATGTACGGCTAACAGTTTGGGGGCGGAACGCGAGCCAATGAACCTACTGTTAATTGTAACCCATGTCAAGAGCTGAGAACCTACACTTAGGTCCTTATCATTTAGATACAGTTCTGACCACAAACACAGTGTTGCACATGGGTGCTGGTTAAAAACTAATTTGACTGAACCTTTGTTTTATTTCTGTCTCGTGGTTGTGAGGTGACGAGTGCCAGAAGCATCAAGTCACTGAGGGGAATTGTTTTTTGTTGGTGCATATTGGTGCATTCTGTCATGTATAAAACTTTTTACCTTAGCTTTACGTTAGCTATTTCTAACTTGTACTTCTTTCAAATATCCAACTAATTGAAACAGGTACAAGGCACTCATCAGAAGTGCTTCTGACGAAGACTTTGTGAACTGTATTCAGTTACACTTCTGACCCACAAATAAACAAACAAAACAAACAAACAGAAAAACAGAGTTGGGACTCACTGGACGTGCTGGACGTGCTTCCTGTCTTCCAGCTGCCTCGCTGGATACTCTGAGGCACCGGAGGAAGAGGAGCCACCATTCTGGGTGTCGACTTGTACAGAGAACACTCTAACGTCACATTGGGGCCCCAGTATAGGTTCCTCTGCAGTGGAGCACTTATCTCATAATCTAAGAGGGGAGAGACCACATCCAATGTCAGCATTTTTATTTCAAAACAGCCGGATGTGATTTTCAGCTGTGTGCTGATCATTTATTAATCATTTTATAACCGTAAAATACGCTTATAGTCAGTTCATTGTGGAGCTTTATATTACATCTGAGCCATTTGATTCATACTGAATAAAATAAATATTCAAATAATAGTCAAATTATTCTACCGAGCTCCTTTCCGGCCTTCTCTCTCTCTTTGTGGCGTCTGGTGATGCTATCTCGTAATCGCTTCAGATTTTCCTGAAAAACAACAAAGCAGCACACACGTCAGATCCCTTTATGAGCACCGATCAGCACCTGACCGACCACAAAGTGCGTACAGTTGATCTACCTGCTGATAGCGTATGGAGCTCGATCTCCGCTCATGGTCAAACTGCCAGGTCTTGAACTCTTGGACGGCCTCATCCACGGTAATTTCCCCCACCTTCACCCTCTCCTGCAGAGATATGAGCTGTCTCTGTCCAGGGGTCTTCATCCCAGCATAGGGGTCATAGGTAGGAGAGAGGGGGGCCGCCGCAGGCTGAGCTGGATGGGTGCAAAAGGTCGACATTTTAACAAAAGCAGAGGACATTTTACACTTTTACACTACAAAGAAAACAATGTTGAGAAAAAAACAAAAGGCATCAAAATGTACTGAAAATACCAACATTAAACAATAACAGTATATCAGAATTATATATATGATATTACTGGATTATAATTAGTGATGCATTGATGTGCTCTTCACTGTAATGTTGCAGCTGGTGAAGGTTGGATTAATCTACATTACTTTATATACTGCTGCATAGTTTACAATGTAAAAACATATCAGGATTTATTAGTTGATTTATATTTCCCATTAATAATCTAAATCTGCAAAGTAACTGTTAACTAAAGCTGTTGTGACAAATATAGTGGAGTAGAAGTATAAAGTAGCATGAAGTGGATATTCTCAAGTAAAGCACAAGTACCTCAAAGTTGTACTTAAGTACAGTACTTGAGTAAATGTACTTAGTGACATTCCAACACTGATTGGAGTTAAGGTGTAAGGATTGTGTTTTTCATACATACTCTGACATTGTAACATTGGAATTGCTAGGAGTCTTGGGTAACGTTTACTAGAGAATGAACTTAAGCCTAAAGCTTAGTAAAGTAAAGTGCAAGGCCTGTTCTACTAACCTTTGGTAGTACGTTACAACATCAATAGATTTATATTTGGCTCTTACCATGCTGAGGTCTTATGCAACCAATGAGATTATAACCAAAAAAAGAAGGATTCTCAAACTGTGCTTTACCTGCAGGACATCCCGCTTCCATCGCTGTACTCTGGGACGCAGCTTTATCTGAGAATACTGTCAGAAATATGAAGTTATCTACTTTTGCTCGGAGAGCGACTTTATGAAATCTGATGTGATTTTGGGGGAAAGACAAAAGAGACGGCTCGATACCTCTGGAGATGTAGGTCTGAGGCTTTTCAAGATCCGCCATGGACTCGGGTCTGGGGATGGGGGCCGGTGGGCGGTTCAGGATTAATGGGTTGAAGCTGCCGTTTGCATCCACTGTATCATAGATATCCTCTGGGCAGAGGTTGTATGGATCCTCCTCTTCTTCAATTTCATCAAAGTCAGTATGACTTCCCTTTTCCTCTTCCTCACTTATAAGGTGGTCAGTGTTGTCCTGGTTGACACTGGCAGGTGGTTTTGCTGAAGGAAACAGCACATTTACCCACACTACATTATATACACTATACCATATTATAAATGCTGCTATTTAAGGTCATTACTTCAAACCTATACCTTGGAAGAACTTCCTCAGCATAGCTTCCTCTGGGTTCTTGTCTACTGCGATCATCACCTCATCTGAAAAAAAAAAAAAGAAGCTGCAATTGTTTAACCATATGTTTTTGTAAACGTCATAATTGTTAGTACCAACAAATAAAATCATGTTCATCTTACATAGGTCCTCTGCACATTCAGGGTCAATCACCAGCATCGACTCGTATATGTCCTCCGAGCAACCCGAGTACTTCATCATCATGTCTTGAGAGTTAGGTGTCATCAACTCGTACACCTCTGCACCTTCCTCTGTGTGGATGGAGTCCTCAATGTGAGACTTGAGCATGTCTGCTGGCTCCTAGATGTGTTTGAACACGAGAGACGGTCACAGGGTGAACTGAAAAGATCCGACACATCGCTGGAGACCACATAGAAATGAGCTCTCATCACCGGACTTACAACAAATTCGTCCATGAACTGTCTGAGATCCAAGAAGCCGCTCTTCTCTGCCAGCGTGTTCGGGTAGTCTCCAGACTTGTTCATCACGCTGTAAGCCTGCAGCGCCCCGGGACACTGAAGGAGAATGGTGGTCAGCTTCTTCAGGCCGTACTTAGCAGCGAAGTGGAGCAGCGTGGGAAGCTCCTCGTTACGCTGATCTGAAGGACAGAAGGCGGTCAGATAAAACCGTCCCTACGACTGTAGGTTGACTCCTAAAATATGCTTTTACTCTCCGAGGTTTCATAGCGATCCATCCAAAAACAGACATCGCCGATGTCAGATATATGCTTTCAAATGCTTCCAGATATGTTCTCCTGACACATCTGCCCCCAACTTTGGGCAAATATTTGGGGAATGCCCTCGACTAAATCAGAAGAAATGTACTCACATGCCGTCATATTGTCTTCTTCAATCTGTCTGATTCCAAACACCTGAAGACCCGTTGCGGGCATCATGGATTTCAACGAGTCAGTTAGCATGTTGTCCAGTGATTCGGTTGCATTGGACGTCAAGTTGAAGGCCTGAAAGTACAAAATGACTCGCATGACATGGAGAGCTATCAACGTTAAGTTAATTATCATAATGGGCCTCGTGCAGGAAGCAACATAAAAACAAATTTCCTCTTATTTTTGTTTGTATCCACAATTTGTTCCTATTTTGTTCGTAGTTATAGTCGTATGTTTATATTTTATGCTCCTGTCTGGTCGAGAGCACTCTTACAAAGATAAGAAAAAAACATCTTGTTTTCAGAGTCCTTAAATTGTTGACCCAATGCAAGGAAACATACAGATCCTAATAAATGCAAAAATATCATCATAATGACATTTAGATTATTATATGTTCTTACAATGATTGGATTATTAAAGTTGTGGGCTGAAGAAACACTATTGGTCCATTGATTCCTATAAAAACCCTTGGATTACACTGTGTGCGTTCAGCTTGTGAATGGCTTACATCCTGCTCTTTGATGCTCTTTCATTTTCCTGTAACGCCATATCACGTTTACTTTTTTTATTTAACGGTGCCTCAACTTCTCCGCTGCTGCAGTTCTTCTTCTTCTTCTTCTGGCCTTTATTTAAGGGCATCTCTCCATTTCTTGGGCATGTGCCAGAGTATTTGCACACTGCACAACTCCTGCCCTAATAAAGTGTTTAGGTGTTATCTATGTTAACAATAGGCCACACGCCTCCAAATGAGGAATGAAAAGAGAACGTTTCTGCACGGGGCTCTCACCTGGCAGATGAAGTTAACAGGATCGGCGGCATCTTCAAGATACCGACTGACTTCCCCCATGTTGGTGTAATACGTAACCGGCCTCAGGCTGACGCAGCATTGGTCAGAGTACATGGTGAGTGATACCACTCCAGCAGGCATATCTGGGGGGGAGAAACAGAAAATACAGTCATTTCAGATGGCAGTTTTCAAGATGTTGCCATCAACACTGAAAAAAACCCCAAACAGCTTCAGATCAATGACTTCCTGGAGACACTTACCAGGTGCAGTAACACTTATAGTGTAGTCATTCTCCACAGTGCCTGGGACCCTTTTTGCAGCTACATTTCCAAATGAAAACTCCACCTCTGGTACCGACCAATCATCTACTTTATGCGTGAAAATGATAAAAAGTTTCTCCCGCTCCTTAAAAAAAAAAAAAAAAAAAGGAAATTGGAATCAATATGGCTTCTTAGAGATTATTTTCCACACTTCTGCACGTAATCGTCTATCCGACGATAAAACACTAATTGTAATGTAATCACTTCAGTCTTACCCCGCACAGAACTCTGCTTGGCTGGACGGTGAGACAGGTGAGGTGCGTGGGTGTACTAAGTTCCTCGCCTGTTGAGTTCGGTGTGCTTGCTGGTTCTCCATCCTCCAGGACGGGTTCTCCATCCTCCAGGACGGGTTCTCCATCCTCCAGGACGGGTTCTCCATCCTCCAGGACGGGTTCTCCATCCTCCAGGACGGGTTCTTGCTGCTCGTCTGACACCACTACCCCTGTCTCATCAGTAGCGGGATCTTCTGTCAAAGAGGCTGCTGTGATGTGCACCTCTGCCGCAGCTACAGCTTTGATCTTATGTTCGGCCTCCACTCGTCTGCCTTTTCAATACAAAAACAAAGAAATGATTTACTTATATTGTCACCTAAATACACTTACTCTAATTATTCAGCGAGGGCTAAAGGCTCAGTTTAAGCATTATGAGTGAAAGTTTACTTTCTCTGCTGATAGTTTCAGTTTTATATGCAGAAGTTTCACCTCTGAAACTTCTGCCACCACCTTGGGGGGGGTAAGTAGTAAACCGCAGTTTGAACACAGTAATCGGTTCCCTCTGTACTATTCCCTCTGCCCTCTCTCTGAAAACGGCTAGTTCTGTGGATCAACCTGATTAACCAGGACATTGTCCCAGGATAGGCGAGATGATGATGATGATTTGTGTTTTTCAAATGTTTCTTGTTGTCAGATCTTGATCACCAGATACAGTATAGCATTGGATTTACTTTTATTCCAGTGGAGCAGAGTACAGCTCAAACCTGACCACATAAACCAGTAAATAGGTAAGTGAGATGATTATGTGGTGTTTTCATAGGTTGGGTGAACCGACTCTCTAATTGGTTAATTTTGCTCTTTGGGCCTCTAATCAGCTTCATCTGAACAATTAAATAGTCGTAACCTGTTGGGGTAAAAGGCTTCAGAAATACTCCACAAAAGTGTGACGTATTTAAAGGCACAAAACAAAACAAAAAGAAGTGTGATGTGTTTCTGCGTACTATCAGTGATGGACTCCAGAATGGTGGAAACGTAGAGAGCAGGCTCGTCGTCGGCGTAGAGTTTCCTCCAGCTTGGCCAGTCCTCGAGGCACTCCGTGGTTACGTCGTCCTCTGGCACGCCGCACAGCAGCGCCACCACTCTGTGCGGAGGGTGAAGGAGACCCCGGAGCGCCGCCTGCAGTTCAGGGTCACAGAGCATGTCCAGGATCACCCCAGTGAGGAGCAGCACGACGCACTCGCAGCTCTGGAAACAGTCAAAGTCATGTCCGAGGAGCTGATCGGCCGGGTCGACCGCGTACAGCACAACGGACCTCTTGCGGAACTTTCTGGAGGATTTCAAGATCTGCTGCAAGTACGTCGCCCATTCCGCTGCCTCGGCTGCGTGCAGAATTAACAGCTCGTGCGCTGAAGGTGATTCAGGTTCAGCTGAAAAGCAGAATATAGCGCGATTAGTGTGTACAGTGCGTGCATTCAGCTTTGCCCCACCAAAGCAATAAAACTGGAAAATATTACTCATTAGTTCCTTAAACACTGCTGTTCATGCCTAACCACGTGAAATGAATCACAATCAGTTCAAACATTACGCTAACGACACGACACCCGCCATGTTGTATTAAATGTGTCGGCCTCCGTGTTGCAGTAGGTAAGTAGGTAATGTTTGCTGTGGAAATGCTTCACAACATACCAGCTGTCCAGGTGTGTGAAATGTCAAGGTGACTGTGGTCGGAGAGTGAATGTCCGACGTGTTTGATAGACCAGCGGCGAGCCAGCAAGGAGTTGTGCAAACACGATGCTGTGTCAACACCGGTCAGAGTAATTTAGTCTGACTCATTACAGTGTTTCATCAGGTCAAGTTCACCGCTGTACACGACGACGGGGACAGAAACCCAACGCGGATATTTCCCCTTCTTCACAGCTCTCCACTGGTGACAGGGCTGAGAGAGTGGACCGTACCATAAAATAACCTTCATATTCATTTAACCACACAGGAAGGCTGAGACGCTTGCTTCCTCTTTTTACTTTTATGAGCTCAGAGAAGAGTTGTTGATGGAAGTTCAATGAAATAAAAACATATTTCCAAAGAAAAAGATAAAACATTCTTTAAGACTAATCCATATTGGGTAAAATAAGACATTTTCACGACCTGAAACTGAGTAAAAAGACAGTTACACTGTAGAAGATATGTCGTATTTACCTGATCTAACGCTTGAGTGGGGTTCCTCCATGGTCGCGAAGCCGCAAAAGTGCACAAAATCACCCCAGAAAAGGCATCGTTTGCCCAAATATGTCCTTTTTTTGGTTTCTAAAGTTCACTAGAGCTCCCGTCCCCTTCAACTGAGGCTACATTAGCTCTCACCAGCTGTACTGCAGCCCTTTGCTCAGCTGTATTAATAGCAACACTCGGTTTCCTGATTTTGGTGACACTGCCCCACTTCCTGAAATAGTTAAAGAAGTGAGAAACTGCAACACAATGGTGCTCTGTCGTGCAACACGTCTTGCGATTCAATTCATTATTAATTTGTAGATTATTCAGGGCAAAAATAAATAAGACAGAATAGAAAAAACAAGTATTTGTGGAATAAAAAGAAGGATGCAGAAAACGGATAAATACAAAAGTCTTTAGTTTTCTGTTCTCAATAATACGGCGCGCGCGAGCGCACACACACACACACACACACACACACACACACACACACCCCAGTGGCGGGCCGTGCATTTTATACCTGGGCCTTCAGTGCTGTCCTGCAGCTGAAACATCACCTAATAACGACATGATGGCGCCACAGCTACGGTTATTTGTTTCTAGGGGTGCAACAATAGATGTATTCGTATTAAACCGTTCGGTACGAGGCTTACGAACCGAACAATACGTTTGAATAATACTAGTGCATTTGGAAAATTCAGAAGCTTAAATTGTGGGAAATATAATGTTTTCGGTGGACTGCGCTCACGTAGGAGACAACGGGCTGTGAACTCTGAACCCGGAACAATAACAAACAACAGCTGACGCCCTGCACTTCTGGGAGGCTACGCTAAACCAGTTTAACAAACAATAACTCCAAGCATGACGGCATGCTTCGTAATTAACGGACAATGCATATAGTCCAAATCTATATAATTAACACAATGACAACAACAAACTCACAAGAACCAGTCACATATATTCATATGACAACAAATCAATCCAGCAGACCTGCAGCGGAACACCTACACACTCGAGGGCCATTCAGATATTAGATGTAAAAAAACAAACTTACCAAATGCTGTTCACTTAAAGACAAACTCCATCCTCCTTTCTTTGTTGACAAAGAGTTTAATCCCACGGTTAAATCCCAACTCACAAATTCGTTTCTCCTCCTTCAGCCATTGAGTATTAAAAAAACAAATCTACACCAAGCAAAATGCAAGAAATATCATAATTTCTTCCATATCTTTCAATTTGATCTCTTACTACTCCGACTAAGCCTCTGCTTAGTTTTCGTTTTCCAATAGTCACGTGCTCGCCCACTGACCAATCACAGCGCACACTGCAGTGGTGCAGCGCTGCACCTGAAAACTGAGCTGTCCGTTAATGCTGATGTACTTGTAGGCCAGCTAGCAGGCTCTGTCAAGGAATACGCCCAACATGTCAAACTAAAGATCTGATTGGTTGAAGACTATGACAATCAACAATATCGTCCCCATTCACTTAAACTGCACTGGATGCACTTGAGAGTCTGCAGGCCTCGGGCCTCTCTTCTTACCTAGAGACACAGAGGTGAAATCTGATTGGATAAAAGCTCTACTTAAAACAAGCTGCACTGGAAGCAGAGCAACTGAGGAAGACAGTAGCTGTGCAATGAGAAAATAAGATAATGGGAAAAATATTTTTATAAATTATAATACATGTAGTGTATTTAAGAAAAATTATTAAATTATAAAATAGCTATAACTTTGTGATTCTATTTAGGCCAGAAGAGAAGGCCTTGCAGGCCCTGATGGCCCGCCACTGACACACACCCATAAATATATCAGTTCAGCTGTTGTCAGGGTTGCATGCTTCTTCCGTTTTTTCACTTCCTTAACAAGGTGACATGTGTGTTTGGTGTTTCATGTTGTGGAAATTAATGTATTTCCTTGTGAGAAATCAAAAGTATCTTAAGCTCTCTGTCTTTAAGAATGTATTACAGAATACGATACAGGCATCAAACATGAGCCAATGAGTGCTAACAGAGTCCACTACATACAAACAGAGTCACAGAATACTTCTCGGCCGATAAAGGGACAGCGTTCCTTCACCCGGTAAGGATCAAGGAAAGCTGACGTCTTCCTCGGACTTGAGCGCAGCATAAATACACCTCCGAGAGACGTACTTCGCCCTGTCAAATCAGGAGACAGCGTGTTGTCAATGTTTATGTGCCCTCTGAACTTTTACCTAAGATAAGAAACAACATGGTTTTTCAGTAACGCAAACACTGCTGACCCAGAAACATATAGGTTCAAGCTAAAGAGACGTTACAGAGTTCATAAAATCTATTTTTCTCTGACACTTCACAGTCCGACTGACATTGTGAGACTATATCTGAAATAGATAAAAATGTGTATCGAATACGAAATCTCTACCACGGTAGATGATATAAATAAATATGAATGTTAACGAACATAGTTATATTTAAATAGGCAATAAAACACTGTGTCTCATGTATACGCACGTACAACATGTATGCCGGTACATTCAGCATTTAAAGTGACAGTAAAGGTGTATCTTTAGGCTTTTTAGCAGTTTCAATGTTTAGGGTGACACTTGTAATAATATCCGGTTTATTATTGTGATTCTATATTAAGTACAGAGTCATTTAGCTGCTCAAATGCTGGCTGAGGTGATCACACAGATAGATGAATGAATCATCTGTATGGTGTCACTATTACTATGGATGTGAAGTTTCACATTTCCCAAGAATTTCTCCACTGACATAAAGGCAACAACGCGAGGCACCACGCTGACACAACCACTAGAGGGCAGCAGTGAATCACTTACGCCAGCCAGCAGGACGTCTCCATCACCGGTCAACTATGCAGACAACAAGGCACTACAACTGCAGGTAGCTCTAAACAGGTGTGGTGATATACTTTAGCAGTAATATCCAATATAGGCATTGGAGTGTTGAGGCAGACTCAAAGACGTATCTCTGCAGGGTCTCTCTCTTCAGCTTAAGATGAAGACAACAGAGGAAGACTGTTGGGACATCTGCAGGCCAGGATGATGATTGTGCTCAGCTGGAAGAATCTGGACAAACTTGTTTTGAGGAATGTGGATGCAGCCTGTTTTGCTTTGAAGAGATGGACTTCTACTGTTAAAGTGAAAGACCAGAATTTGTACTCGTTTATGGAGTATTCATGCAGAATTTGGGGATTTGTTTTGCTTGAGGAATATTTTCCTGGTGTGGATTAGATCCGCTGAACCACTTTTCAGGCGAAGTGGATGCCAATAAACACACAGCAATCAGCAGTGATCACTGGCTGTGGATTGATAGACCTGATCGCAGCCCAACAAAGCACCTAAAACAGCTGTTTTTCCCCCACTTCCATAAAAAGAAAAACACCAAACCATCACATCGCTCGCAGAATGACTTCAACGAACTTCCAGACGCGTGTCGAATCAGAGCCGAGAAGCTGTTCTGTTGGTGTTTGGTGTATTTTGGCATGTATGTGTAGGTTTGCCCTGTCCTCAATCTTCAACTACAGTTACAAAATCACAAGACAAGAGTTTATCCACTTGTCTGACCGTGACCTTTTTTTCATTTTGTTTTTCAATAATGCAATTAGTTTTGTTTCTGCTGTGACCTCTTCCTCCGACGTAGACCTTTTAATGTCCGCAGCAGAAGTTCACTCTGCGGCTTCTGAAGCTGCCTGTGAAGAGCAGGGTGATCCATGACCCGCCTTTAAGTACAATTTCCTGTCGAAAAAAAATGCCCTAATTTCTTCTAACTCTGCCATTAGCTACCATAAGCATGACCGGCCCGTTACCTTTTGTTTGGGCTCCCTTGAAACCACTATCTATTAGGTGGCTCAAATCAAATCCCTGCAGCCCGAGTTTAATAAGGGAATATTTTCGCTCCTATGTTTTAACCTTGTTATCCAATATCCTGTCTTTTTAGTCAGCCGTGTGTTTCCAGCACAGAGAGCGACTCTGCCAGAGAGCGTGCGTCAGTTCACAACAGAGACCTGAGATCCTGCCTGTCGGAGCACAAAGGTTCACGCAGGGACTAAGAGCTCGCTGGTAATCTGCTATGCTGGCACTGGATTACTCAGTGATACATACAGTAACAGTTTACTGCTGACCAGTTTGTGTCTTCTTCTTCTTACAACTTTAACCCTCAACTTTAAGCCTAAAAATTCTTATTCGGCGTTTGGTTGTACTTAGCTCCACCCTCTCGTGTCACTTCTGGTTGCACAAACACAAGAAATGGCGACAGCCAAAATGTGGAACTTAAAGGCTTCAAAACCGTAGGCCACAAACTAATTTGTGACATCACGGTGAATACATCCACTTCTCATATGCTAAATATGAGGTTCAGTACAAGGCTGCTCGACTGCGCTTGGCAATTTTTTTTAGAAATTACACTTGAAATTGTTTTTCACGATAATTTAAACCGGGGCAGACATGATTTTGCAACTTTTCTCGGTTAACTCGTCGTTACTCAGAAGAAAAGCCTCATGTAGCGGACAGACACACGATCACTGTGATGCATGTGAGGAAATTGATTTGTGCCAGTTTTCAGAACGGAATTTGATTTCAACGATGTCCACATAATGTGCCTCCTGGGTGGAAATTTTACCAAAAGGTAATTTTTGAGGAAGTGCGGCATTATTCAGACAGGTATTTTTTTTTTTTTTTGACTTTGAAACAGTTTCATGAGCTCATGAAATCTGCTCACTTCACAGAGAAGCGCCTACAATGACAGAATAAAATCCTCACAACTGAAGTTACTAAGCACCGAGCACTCCGAGGCAGGCAGGAGGCTGTGACGGAGGGGGAGTGGAGTACTGTACTTCTAATATTGCCGACATAATGGTCATGTTACCGTCTCGTTTGCTGTAACCCCCCCCCCCCCCTGTCCCGGGAAAGCTCTACCTCATATCTGCACCCACTCCGAGGCTGTCGGGGGAGACTTTTAAAGCGGAGGAAGCCGGAGACAAAGCACAGTCCGAGGACACGGGAGTGCAATCTTGAAATGGAAAACTGAAATGGGGAAAAGGGTCTGGAGCTGAAATGTTATTTGGACGATAGCCTGCATAAGAAAGGAACTGTGTTTGGTTTCTCATTGAGAGTCACCAGCAGGGCTCATTGTGATAAGAAAATAAGTCTAATGTTACCTGATCTGGTATAATGTGGACCAATTACCACTCCATTGCACTTCATTACAGGACTGTAATAGGGCCGGGGGTCAGTGCTTGAGATGGAGTGGCGGAGGAAAATTGAGTCGTCATTGATAATATGATAAAAACTGACAGTGAGAGGGCCCCTCCGACAAATTATTGAAATTTACAGTTGATAGGGAAACACTATAACCTCATTTGGTAAGCAGCTGGCAAGCACTTGTACAAAGCAGGTCCTCGAACACAATGGGAGGCTTATGGAGAGAGGGAAATCCAAAACTATCACAGAATAGTTTTAGGCTCCTGCTCATTGGCCTCTGGCACCGAGTGTGCATGTATTCAGTTTTTAGAAATGGCTTAAGT